TTTTATGGATGTAATTTTTCCATCAGGCTGCTTCATTACATAGCCTATGTATGCTATGTATGTGTAGCAGGCCAGGGAATCCCTATTACTTTAGGGGAGAACCAGCCAGAAGGAGATCCCCAGGTGGGGAAGCTGCTCTTAAAGGGGCTGCGGAAGAACAGCCTGCCAGGGATCGGTAAGCTATGAGTACCTATTTCAGAGCTAGCTGCTCTGCAATAGTACAATAGGACAGGGACTGCTTAGGTAGCAGAGCGCCTATTGCAGACCCAGCAGCTCTGCAGTAGTACAATATGGCAGAGCCTTACTTGGGCAACTGGGGCATTGCAGTAGCTGTTAGGTCAGCCAGAAAGCCTAGTTGGAAACACTTGTGGACAACTGGGGAAGCCCCTTGACTTGAAGGGGCAGGGCTTAGGGAGTATATAAACCCACAGATTGAACTAGGGAGTGGGTCTGGCTCTGCAGGCTTGTCAGGAGGAGCCCAAACTGAGATGGCTCTGGTTGAGCAGTGGACTGAAGGCCTGCTATAATACAGACTGCCAGTAAGGAACTGAAGGCTGGCCAGAAGCTACAGTCCTGGATGAGAAGGGTTTTGTTGTGCTGCTAGGGTGCTTAGAGATTTAGTTATAGCGCATGGGCTTACTTTTTTTGTTACAGTTTAAGTTGGTGATCTGGGTTGGGCTTATCAGGGATAGAGGAGGTCCCAGTGCATGCTTTCAGCAATACCGGGGTCAGGCTCGAGGCCCAGACAGACGTATATCTGGGAGGGCTTGAAGCCTAAGTTAGAGGATAGGCAGAGCCAGTGGAGGCTAAGCAGGGCCAGGGGCCCAGCACCAGAGGAAGGCCTCCTCCGGGAGCCCACAGCCCTGAGGGGTGTCTCTAGAGCTTTTGAGGTGCGAGACCAAAGTCCAAGAGGAGTGAGACCAGAGCTCTTGAGGGGTGAATATGGAGTCCTAGAAGGGTGAAATCAAAGCCCTTAAGGAGTGCAGCCAGTGCCCTTGAGGGGCGAGACCAGAACCACAGAGTGGTGCTTCCAGGGCCAGGGCCCAGAGTCAAGCCAGACAAGATGCCAGCTGAAGCCCGGGGGCCAGGTATGACACTGTGGACCTAGGTTAAAGGCCCAGGCTAAAGGCCTTTGCCTTCCTGGACAGGGAAGCAGAGGCTGGGAAGGTCAGGGCCCCAGCAAGGGCACAGAGGACTGAAGAGGCATAATATTGCCCTGGGGCAAAGGCCAACCAAAATAATTAATTAGTGAGACTTACAAGGCCTGGGTGTGGTCATGGTAGGGATGGTCAGAGGTCACAAACCTAGCCCTTAAGGCCAATGGTGACCAGAGACATGGACAGAGAGAGAGGGACTAGACCAGTGGTCCCCTGGGCTGGCCTCCCAACCTTTTTCTTTCTAAATAACATCAAGGGTGTGGCAGGTGAAGTAGAAAGTAAGACCCAAGACCCAGAGGAAGGAGGAACCATGTGGCCATCGGGGGCATCATAACCAACCCAGGCACTTAATTCTGCTACAGTTTGTTACAGAAAATATTTGTTTTCCAAAATTTGAAAATCACTTATACACATTTTTATTAGCATAGGAGTCAGAGGGATTTTTAAAAAGCCTTTAAAATGCCTGAAATAACTTTTTTAACCTCAAAGTTCAGCTATCTCAGGAGCTTACTTGCATAGAAACAAGTTCTGAATCACACTGGAAATCTGGGAATCTTCTCTTTTGAGTGGCGCAAATTTTCCATGTTTAGATTTGGAACTGCAAACCACTGAGGAGAACTGAGAATTACCCATCAGGGACCTCGGGATGCATAATTTTCCCACATCTAATAGGGCAGAAATTGCTTTAAAAACACCAGTTGTGTGAAGTGGCTCAGAGGTTTGGAAGTTAAAAGCGTCACTCCTCATGAAGATGCATTAGCAGATGAGTTGGTTGAAGGTGAACAATAAATTGCACAACCCTGTGATCTATTAAGAGTCCAGCACTGGGGATGGGAAAGCAACCCACCTGGGCTGCCTCGCCGCCCCAGCACAATCTAGCGCGGGGGATGGGAAAGCAGCCCAGCTGGGCTGCCTCGCTACCCCGGTGGAATCTAGCACCAGGAATGGGAAAGGAGCCCAGCTGGGCTGCCTTCCCATCCCCAGTGAAATGTCGAAACACCACTGAAACAGCCTTTCCATTTTGATGGAACAGAATGGAGCAGCTGTTTCAAATTGAAATGAAATTTGAAATGGAACACTGTTCTGTCGAACCATTGAAACTCAAGGTGAGACAGAACGGTGCTGTTTTGCACAGCCCTACTGCTCACCTGTAAGTAGAGGGGTGAGGCCAACTTTGGTACCTGACCCCAGGGGTAGTAGAGTTTGGTATACTTTTGAATCACTACAGTTGGTTTTGCACTGGTTTAACAGGGCAGTACATCTGTCTACTTCTGGCTTAAACCACTGTTGGGTCCCTATGACCCTATAATGGGTCTTATACCAGGCAAGGAGAATAAGCGTGCAGCAAATACATACATCAGTCTCTTGCCAAGTGCCGATACTATTGAGCTGGGCCCAGAAGCCTCTGGGTCCCAACACCACTTTTGAACTGGGCTAACTGTTAAATATGTCTGTCCCCCAAGTCTGTGAATTTCATCAGTTTTGAATTGCATGCATGGAGCTTTCTGAAACACTTTTGCCTGGATTGCTTTGACTTTTGTTACTCAGTGGGTGCATCTACACATAATGCCATGTCGCTGTAGCAATGCGCGAGCAAGACCTGCAACACTGCAGCTACATCACAGTAGTGATGCACTCCCCCGTTATTGTGCATCACTATGGCAATGTAGTGCTTAAAAGTAACTACTTCTAAAGGAAGTACTAAATGATGGCACAGTAACAACAGCTCCATAGCGGCATGTGGAAATGTGCCCACACTCTGTTTGGACCCACATCAACCTTTCGGGAAGGAGGACATGTAGAACTACAGCCAAGAGCTGTAGCTTCTCGTACATGAATGATTCCAGTGAAGTCAGGATTGGGCCCTACCAGAGCAGCATGTTTAAGATAAAACCCTTCCATCCATCTGTAAGGGAAGAGACTTCCTCTGTTTAATAATGAGAACAATGGGTTGTAGGTGAAGCGTTGGCTTGTTTTGTTCTGTGGATATTCTCTGTTCTTGCTCAAGGCAACACAGTTAGCAGGCCCCATTCTCTGACATTGCAAAACTCCTCCCAAAGCAGACAGAGACACTGATATCATCACCTCCCTAAATGCTTATGTTTGCCTAGCTCCCTGGATTTGTCTCACCACTGACTTCTAGCTGGTTGGAATTTCACTTTCAATTCTGGCAGGCAGACTAGAGTGCTTGTCAGCCCTGGTTCCCTTTAAGCTGTGTGTGTGCATGGCCACGTACAATTAAAAAGCTTGCCACGCAGTAACTTTTTAATGCTGTGCACTCGCCTGAAGAGGAGCTGGGCTGCAGCTTCCCAGAGAGGAGCTGGGCGTGGAGTGCGGTGGAGGCACTGGGCCCGGCGTGGGACACTTACCAAAGATAAGCTCTTCATGCAGGGCAGGCAGTGGCTCCTCCCTGAGGCGAGGCAAGAAGGGAGCGGGGATGGGGGCTGGGTCTGGGGGCTGACATGGGCTCTGCTGGCTCCGGGGAACTGCTCTGCACCCCTGCATCACCTTGGGGAGTGAGAAGGCACATGGCGTCAGGGCTGGGGAGCGGTGCAGTTCCCCAGAGCCAGCGGAGCCCGTACCAGCCCTCAGACCCAGCCCCTGTCCCTCCCTCGCCTCACCTCGGGGAGGAGCCGCTGGCTGCCCTGCATGAGGAGTGAGGTGCTTACCTTTGGTAAGTGTCCCACGCCAGCCCCGGTGCCTCCCTTTCAGCTCTATCAGTTGATTGTGTCCGGCCCATGACTGCCCCACAGCTCTCCACTGCACTGCTCTGGGCAGCAGTTAGCATGGAGAAGGGTGATGGGTGGGGGCCACAGTGCTCCACATAGGGCCAAACCCTGTCCGCTTCCACTTGTACACTTACTGTGGGACACTTACCGGCGGACTGCACTGAAAGGGGAAAGTGGGACCGAAGCGGCCCACTCATGGACTGCTATTCCTTAGAGGATGTCTTTTTGCTGAAAATGGAACTAGGATATTAATCCTCCAAGTGCAGCTAAGTCACTCAAGGAAATGTTGTTGAAAGTTGAAGGTAGTTCAGTGTCTCCAGAAACAGATGGGCATTTCGGGAGATTGAGTTTCAAATGAGCAGAACTCTAAATTTTCCATGCAGAACATTCATGTCTCATGGTATCGGCTGCTGGGCCATTTCAACATAATATAAGAACATAGGAACTGCCATCTACTACATCAGACCATAGGCCCATCTTGCCCAGTATCGTGTGTCACACAGTGGCAGACAGTAGATACTGAAAGGGAAAGTGAACTGGGTATGGCCAGGGTTTTTCCCACTGTTCCTCTCTCAGTTGCAGCCTCCAGCATTTAAGGTCTAGGAAGTTCTGATGTAGAGGATATATCCCTAACTTGTTAGTTTTAAACGGACTACTTATTGGTTTCATGCTGTGACCCTCTAGTTCTTGTATTGTGAGGGATTGTAAATAATAAAACCCTATTTACTTTCTCTTTGCCATTTAGTATTATTTTGTAAAAACTTATCATGTCCCTGCTCAAGTGTCTCTTTCTAAACTGAATAGGCCTAGCCTCTTTAGTCTCTCCTCATATGGAAGCCCCTCCATACCACTAATCACCCTTATAAATTTCCCAGGAAAGCTTCTTAGAAGGGATGAAGCAGTGATAAATCCTATGGTGTTTCTGTTTGCTAGAGACTGGCATGTTGCATCCAAATTTGGACCTATCTAGGCTTCTTTATTAAATCTCTGGCTTACTCCTATTAGATGCTTGCAGTGCTTTCCTTCCCCCCACCCTTCATAAAACATAACTGAATGGTATGCTGCCAAGCCAGCCCCCAACCTTGCTTCAGTACTGCTCATGCTTTGCTTGCAGGTGATAACCCAAACTGAATCACATCGCCAGCGACTTCTGCACGAGGCAGCTGTGAACCTGTGGACTTGGGGAATCAAGGTGAAGAAAATCAAGGCCATCTACCACATCCTGAACTTATGTAACATTGATGTCACCCAGCAGTGTGTCATCGCCGAGATATGGTTCCCCGTGGTAGACACGGGTAGGATAAAAAGGGCCCTCAAGCAAGGAATGGTAAGAGGCTGACCTGGCATTCCCCCAACTAGTTTACATCGGAGTTCTCATCTTGCTTTGGAGTGGATCCTGCTGTGGGTGTCCCTCCCTCCTACTCACTCAGCTCCTTGGCAATTGCCACCCGTTTTCCTTTTCCTTCTGTCCAGGTTTTGACTCATTCCCTCTCTTTTCTGGCCTTTTCTGAGTCTACTTTTGGCTGTTTTTTGGCTTTTTTTCTCCTATTGGCTCCTTTCCTCAGGCTTCAACACATCAAGCAATTCCTTGTTGCTTGTGGTACAGGGAGATGCCCCTTGAAATCTCTAGCACTGGACTGTGGAGTTGAACTGAGGAGTGTATGGAGTTGCTTTGAGCACCTGGCATTAAGGCCACTCTGTGAAAAAGGGGAGCAGGAGGATGGCTTTCCTGGAGCTGTCTGGAGATTTACTTTGGAGAAGTCAGTTCTTCCCACCGCTGCTTCTGTCTTCACCCTGAGCTTGCCAATTCTATCTTCTAGAGGGAGTCTGCTTCCCTGGTTGGGAAACAGTTAGCTAATGCAGCTAAGTTGGTATGAATTCACTGGCCAAATACTTTTCCCTGAGCTGCATCTGCTGGTAAAACAGCACAGGGATACTAAAAGTATGCTAGGACCACAACAGGCAAGAAATAAACATTGGAAACTTTTACATGTCTGCACTTCCCACCTCTCCATTAGCTCTTGGGGTGGAAACAGACACTGTGGGTGCAGACAGATGTTAGAGCCCCACTCTAACTCATGGCACTTCACATAAAGCACCATGAGTTAGTGCTCCCCCCCCACCCAACAGAAGTCAGGGGGAAGGGGATGGAGCTAGCATGCAGTGGCCCAAGCCAGCAGGTTAGAGGTGCTCCACCTCCTCGCTCCCCAGCCCCATCCCTCCGCCCCCAGCTCTGGGGCTGTCAGTGATGGAGGGGGAAGGGAGGGAGCTCCCAGCTTCTGAATGGCCAGAACTGAGTTGGGGGGAATGGGGCCCCCTCACCTCACAGTCCTCCCACAGCTACCCCAGCTGGAGTATTGGGGGCAGCGGGGTCAGGCCCTCGAGGTGAGGGGGCTCCGTTCCACTCTTCTCCCCACCCAGCTCTGGCCATACAGCAGCTGGGAGCTCCATGCTGGCTGTTCCCAACTGCTGAATGGCCAGAGCTGAGTGGAGGGGAGTGGTGAATGGAGCCCCCTCTCCTTCTGACCCAGCTCCCCCCAATACCTCAGCTGGGGTAGCTGGGGGAGGGGGGCAGCGCGAGGTGATGGGGCCTCATTCCCTGCCCTGCCCCCCAGCTCTGGCCATTCGGCAGCTGGGAGCTCCCTCTCCTTCCCCCTGAAAGCCCAAGGGGGGAAATTTTTAAGGTGGCACAAATGCAGAACTAATAGATGTCCTTACCCTGTGTTGCACCACATGACAGGAAAATCAGTGGCACAACAAAAGGTAACAATAGACTGCCACTTTATTGTGGTGGACATCTGCTACCTTTTGGTGCTTTCTTTGCTCAGCCAGCCCTGTGGGGCTCACTGAGCAAGACATCTCCACCCCACCTTTTCTCACTGCCCCAAACCTGCACTGTGGATTTGAGGAAGCAGGGAAAAGCAGTTCCCTGCTTAGGCAGCCCCTCACTGACTAGATGGGGGAGCACCTAGTATTCACTGCTACTCCAGACCCACACTGAGTGGGGGAACACACAGTGTTCCCCACTGCTCCAGCCCCACATGGCTGGAGGAGCAGGGAAGCACTTTTCCCTGTTGCCCTAGACCCACAGCATGGGTCTTGGACAACAGGGAAAGTGGGGAGGTCACGGTGCTCTCGTCCTGCACCATCAAGGGTGGGACCAAGGAGTGATATGTGTTTTGCCAGTGAAGTGAATCAGATGTGGCATGACACATCATGGTACAGCTGAATCACCCCATTTGGCAATGTCTATTTCTAGCCCTGGATTAAGAGAAGGGTTGAGAATTGCTGTCCTTACTGTATGGAGAAGGGAGGCAGCATGGCCTTGTGCAGTGTTTCTCAAACATTGCTGGTCATCTACCCCATTTTAAGTTTACCTTGTGTCTGTGCACACCTATGATTCTGTGCTATGGGCTTTCTGTTCCTGTGACCATATGCTAACCTCCTCAATTATTTAAGAAAAACTGAAGTTGTTCTTTTTATTTTTCTTCCTTTATCTTCTATTATATTTCTCCTTTCCTTCCTCTCCCATTCCCTCTGGGAAATTCATTGTAAACCCCAGTTTGAGAAACAGTAGCCTAGTATAAACACTGGCACCTAGGTTCTCCTGGCTCTGCCACTAGCCTAGCACAGGTTGCTGTCTTCCTTTTTTTTTTTTTTTTTGGCCTCAATTTCCCCATCTGTAAAGTGGGTTTAATGCTACCTATATAAGTATGTAAAGCATGTTGAAATCTGCAAACGAAAAGCATCATATATCATCCTATCACTTGTAGCATTCAAATGGAGAGATATTTTTAAAAAAATGAATGCTATTATATCACCTTTCCATCAGAGCTTCTCAGAGCACTTTGCTGACATTAGTCAAGTCAATCAGCATCCCATGACGTAGGGAAGTACTATATCTGCTTTCACTCATTCTATTCTCTGGCCCTTTGGACCCCTCCATAAGTTCAGCCTCTGCTGCAACTATCACTTATTTATGCTAAAACCCAGAAATATCCCCGTGTCATGCTGTATGAGGGGCTTTGTAAGGTAACAATATAATTTCCTGATGCCCTCTTGTGTGCTGCCCCTCCTCATTGTATTGTGTGAAGTTAAACCCTGCTCCTGAGATGCCTGGACCCTGAATAGATCCCAGTGCCTCTGCAGAGTCCCATGGAAACCTGCCTCCATGCACAACCTATTGCAGGATTGATGCCTTCTCTGGGCAGTCCTTGTGTTTTGTGAGGAAGAGAACCCACATGTTCTTGGGAGCAGCAAAACCAACACTCCACGGTAGTAATAACTGACAAACTGAGGAGTCCAGGTCACTGCAAGGTCATGTGAGCCAGTATTATGTAAAACAGAAATCATGAGATTGCCTTGGAAAAAAGGAGACTAGAAATATAAAGCTGGAGACTTTAAAAGAAAAATCCTGTTATTTTTCTAAACCCTTAAGGGGGAGTTGGTCCCATTTTCACTGGAATGGCAATGCCAGATTTCAACAGAAGCTATGATTGTCATGTAACCATTTGGCTGTGGGAGCTGAGGGCATTAATGCTTTATGGGAAGCAGTAACTATTGAGAGGTGTACAATAAGATTGCGAGAGTTGGCATTACTGATGACTTCCCTGGGCAACTTGTCAGCATGAAGCTCAGGGTTGCAAACAAGCTTGAGAAAGCCGAGATACTAGTCGTGGCCTTCACCTACCAGCCTGGATCAGTCCCTTCCCACCTGGATGCTGTAAACATGTGGGTGCAGGAGCCAGCTTTGTGGGGCTGGCTAGTCTCCAATAGCTGGGGTTAGCTGTAATTTATCCAGCAAAGGTTGCTCTCTTGTCCATCTAGGCCACCCCCACCATTTCACCTCTTTTTTATCATCCCCTTATAGGAACGTAGTGGCTCTACCATTGCCCCTATCCTGACTGCTGTGCAGACCAAGATGTCTCCACCCACCTTCAACAGAACCAACAAGTTCACTGCAGGTTTTCAAAACATTGTCGATGCCTACGGCGTGGGGAATTACAGGGAAATGAATCCAGGTAAAAAGAATCTGGCTTTGCTACAGCTGGCTTGCCAGATTGAATGCAAGATTCGGCAAAGGGTTTAGAGTGGAAGAGGGAAGGCTTCTCTTTTCTAAAAACACATTGTCATCCAAAAGCACACCCAGTGGCTACTACTCAAAATGTCCCAGGCTAATCTAGACAGTCATTTATATCAAGTAAATAGCCATTTATATCAGGTATGTACTAGTCCTCATTTATGCATCAGAATGCTGGACAATATTGTCAAGTATGGAAAAGAGAATTGAAGCAACTGAGATGTGGTTCTTAAGGTGCATCTTAAAGATATGTTGGACAAGTCACACCTCAAATGAGAAGATATTTTGTTAAGAGCAAGCTGCAGGAGGAAGCTGCTGATTAACATTGGAAAGAAACCATTGGAGTTTCTAATACACGTTATGAGGAAAGAGAAAATTGAAAGTCTGGTCCTAAATGAAAGGACTGAAGAAAGGAGATTGTCTGGAAGACAGAGATTGACTTGTGTCAAGAGTTTATCTAAACGAATGAATGTATCAACACTGGAAATTATGTATGCCTCAAAGAGAAGAGATCTGTGGACAACCATAATCACCAACATCCTGTCTAGATATGGTACCTAGAGAGAGAGAAATAGCCCTAACCATTGGCCTCCCTCTAAATTTCAAGTAGAAAGGTGTTGCTTTGTATTTACTGTGTTAAGCACCCTGGCTATTTCAGGCAAATTCAGCTGTTTGCGCCTCCGTATAGAACAAATACAGTGGCTACAGATATAAATGAGATTCCTTCATTGACAAGTAGTTACAAGTAATGCTGGTAGTGTTGCAAAGTGTATGTTAGGACTTTCTAATTTCTTTTTAAAATGTTTTCATATATGAATTTGCTTGGGGGTGACTTGGGTGCATTTTGAATCTTAGGTTAATGTTTGAGGTGTGCTATTTGATTTTATCATCCATGTAGCAGGCACCTAGAGTTAACCAAATGTATACATTGTAAATTGTGGAAACTGTATTGTCATAGCATACTGAGAACCTTGAGCCCTGTTGAAACCTACTTGCTGCAGCTTCATTGATTTCAGTGAAAGTGGAACAATTTATACTGTCCTTAATGGGTGATTTCCAGGGTTACCCCCCAGTTGAGGTCCTTTTGTTTTAATTAGGTGAAACTGAGTTCCTATCTGTCTCCTTCCCATAGCTCCATACACGATAATTACCTTCCCCTTCCTGTTTGCTGTGATGTTTGGAGATTGTGGCCATGGTGCTGTCATGCTGGGCTTTGCTCTCTGGATGGTCACTAATGAGAAGGCTCTCTTGGCCCAGAAAAGCACTAATGAGGTGAGTTTCCTAGGGTTGACTACATCATAGCAATGTGGCTCAAAACTCTCATTTGATACTGTCAGCCTCCCACAGCTCAAATGCTAAATGAATCTCCTTCTGACACATGGCCAAATCCTCTCCCACTTTTTAGGTGCCTAGTAGTGAGCAATCCTATTCTACCCTGTATGGACGTGTCCAGATGAGCACGGTTGTGTGGTATGTCGTGCCGCAAACACATTTGCAGCGCCCCATACTGCACAGTCCAGTGGTCTCTGCGCTGCAAGGGCATGTTGCCTGAGCATGCACTGCTCTGGAGTTTTTTTCTGCATTCTTTTTCGACCCCTAGATATCCAGGGGTCAAAAAAAAAACCTGCAGGAAAAATACCAGAGCAGTGCACTCGGGCAGCACGTGCTGCTGAAAAGCAGAGCTGAGCCACCCAGACCCATGCTGCGACTGCTGGCCAGGCTTTGCTTGGCAGGATTGCCACAGCTGCAGCCCTGGGAGGCCCCCAGGACCCCAGGTAAGGCTGCTGGGGCCAGCATAGTGCCTCTACTACTGCCCCCAGGGTAACTTGCATGCCAAAGCACACATGGCATGGGTGTTCTCCAGAGACAAGTATTGGCAGCACAAGGTGCACCGCCACTGTTCGTCTCCAGGGAGCCAAGCATCCACACTCATCTGGATGCACCTATGAGTCTCCTAAAAAAATCATTAACTTGTCTACTTTTGTAGCACTCTGTTGTCATAAGGCTAAATCACAAAAAGCAGAAATAAGAAATACCTATCCACCTTCTGCCTTAATAGGTTTTCAGGGATGCAACAGAATAAAATCATGCTTACTGGGGGGGCAAAGTAGGCTTAGGTGAGATAGGAGGCAACCCAGAGAAGTTGGAGAGACAAGGATTTTTAATGGTATCACTGTTGGACCGGCTGTATAGTTGGAAGAGCTTCTGGACAAGCACAAAGTACCCTTTGTGCCCAAAGGCTCATCCACCATCTCCCTTAGCTATATGATTGGTTCAATAAAAGATATCACAAAAAACCTTGCCTCTCATGCATTTCCTGGCCCATCATAGCTACAACACTCAAACCCTACATAGAAACTTGGAAGGTTTTTCTGCCTAGTTATACTTGAAGGAATAGACAGCCTAAGAAATCTTTTAAAGTTGTACCTGCAATTTTGTACACCCAGTTCTATGCCTGTACACAAATACAGCTCGTGTTTGCATGGGTAAGTTGGGGCCAAGGTCTTCAAACAACAGGACAGTCAGGTTTGACTTCTAGGTAAGCAGCTTGATTTTCAAAGGTGATCAGCAGCTCCTGATAAAATTAGTGAAGGCTTCTAGTATTTAACTAATTTATTTGAGATCCTACATGTAGATTTAAGAAGCATATTTAGACAAGGTAGTGGGATGGCTCAAGCAGAAAAAGAAGCTGAAGTTGAAGCAAGAACGTCTTATCTAAGCATGGTTGTTTGAAAATACAGGGAAGGACAGAGTGAGTAAGTTAGTCTTTGTAAAAATTCCCCTCTTGAGGCTTGCTGCATGACTGGTTTGGCGATGGAACTGGAGTGTATGAAGGTTGCTTACTTGTCCCCTGAAAATTTTCTTTTGCAGATCTGGAACACTTTCTTCAGTGGGCGCTACCTGATCCTGCTCATGGGCATATTTTCCATCTACACTGGCTTTATCTACAATGACTGCTTCTCCAAGTCTTTAAACATCTTTGGCTCTTCCTGGCATATCCGCCCCATGTTTAGTAACAGCACGTGGAAGTAAGTGCTACGGGGAAGAAAACCAGACACAAAAATTTGCATGATGAAACACATTGACTTCATAATACAGACAGGTTCAAAATTTGTGTAGGGGTGGGACAAATCCCTCCTGTGGTTTTGGTTATAAACAATTTGGGTTGTTTGGCTGAATTAATAGCTGTAAAAATCTTATCTGAAAATTTAAGGTCCTCACAAGAAGTTAAAATTGCTGCTGACATGAGGAGGGACCATGGGTTGTAAGCATGGCCAAATTCAGCATATGTGTGTAGCACAGGGGGGTGCCATTCTTCACTGCCCTCCTGCTGCTTGTTTTCCATTTCCTGTGGTGCATCTTTCCTCTCCCCCTTCTATACTCATCTATAAGCCAGTATCTGGATATATAATCAGCATCCAAGAGAGAATAAAACCCAAGGAATACTTGGGATGCTAATCTCTGAAGTACCAGAGCTCACATCTCAGGGATGTGGGGCGAGTCAAGCAAGTCCAAGCCACCTTTTATGTCCTGCCAGTCCTGGATTGTTCCAGTGGCTAGGGAGGCTCTCAGCACGATGCAAGTCTCGAGGGCTTTCTGAGTGTAGAGCAGCTTCCCTTGGGCTGCCCTATGTGCTGCTCTTGCTGGGTGAATGCTTTTTATAGGGATGTCTGTAGGCATGGCATAGAGATGATATAGTCAAGCCCATTAAGTTCATTTATTTTGCTCTAGGCTCTTTACCCAGCTTAAAGCCCAGAGGACCTGAGAACATTTCAAAGGAAAGTGATTTATTCTATTCCCTCAAACTTTTCAACGATGATACAAGAATCACCATGTTAGGGGACCATTGTGTAAGGGTGCCATAACCTGTCAGGATGCCACGTTGATGTCTAGTCTCGAAAGCTTATAAAAGCTGGAATAAAATTTTTATGCCTTGCATGGCTAACACATATATATCAGCATATATATAGCACAAATACTATCTGCCTGCAGGCACAAAATGCCAGGGTAGGTCTAGGGAAAATGATATGTTTAGCCCTTAGCTCTCTTGAGATAAACATGGCTTTGATTTATGTGTTGGGATTAGTGTGTAAATTCTCAACTTTCTTTCCTTTTGTAGTGAGCATGTTCTTGAAGAAAATGAGGCATTGCAGCTGGATCCTGCAGTCCCAGGAGTCTACTCTGGAAATCCATATCCTTTTGGAATAGATCCAGTAATATAGTTAAATTGGTCTAAGATCTTTATTTATATGCCCTCTCAATTCTACTTACTTAGTTCATCAGAAGCTTCTTTCTCTCTCTCTTGTTCTCTCTCTTTCTCTACATATATATTTCACATAACCTTCATGAGCAGTCACTTGTGAAGCCACATCAGACACTTCTCACTCTCTGCAAGTTTTTTATTGCCTTTTTGTAGCATTATAGATGCTTGTCCTTAAACATTAAAGGATTTGAATACATTAATTCTTCTTCTCCCTCCAAGTTCAAAAGACAGTTAGTACAGCCCAGAGAAATGACCACAAATTTAGGAATCAGGCTCTCTTGAATCCTAATTCTGCCTCTGCCACTGACTTCTCAGTGCTAGCTTCCAGTTAGCTATAAAATTGGGATAATAATGCTTCCTCACAGAGACAATTTGAGGGTTACCTACTTGATATCTATATGGTACATTGGATATGTGAAACACAAAAGAAATATAAGTTTTACAAGTTACCTAAGTTTCATGTGTTGAAGTTGGTTCATCATTTCATCATTTCATCATTTCTCTTTTCTGTGAATCCTTCTCATTCATGCTGTACATTGAATTTAGTTAGGTTGCAGTCACTACCACCAAATTTACCTACTTACTTCCCTTTGTCCATCAGCACTAATTACCCTATTGCTAAGAGTACTGATCATGGTTTCACTCTGAATAAACACCCAAAGAAACCTCCAGTTCCTCTGTATCTGCCTTATAGCCTGTGGGTGTGTTTATTGAGAAAAGTATACATTATCGAGAAAAGTATATGTTATAGAAGCATGTCTGGAGATGGGCCCACAGAGTGCTCGGTGCATTTCAAGCAGTGATGTTTGGATGCATTTAAGCAATCTACATATTTCCCTTACCTTAGGGATTCCTCTGGATGTCAGTCCAGTCTACTACGTAAAATAGAGTAGCTTGTGTTCTTGCTGGCTGCTATTTACCCGAAGGGGCCATTCTGGCAGCCAAGGAGTCTGAGTCATGGCTAGGAGGGGGAATTTGGTAGAAGGCATTAGAGTGGCTCTGTACTATGTGACGATTCCCCTATGTCATGGCCTGTAGTCAGTCCTCCCTTGGCTGGGTCGGCCTGATCCTGACCTAGGTCTGCTGGGCAAGGATTATTTTTAGTGAATTGTTTTTTTCTGAAAACAAAGCACTGATCCTGCTGTGTCATTTAAGCTGCACTTGCAGCAGAACACGAAAGGTCTATGACAAGAAGAAAAACTGAGCTTAACTGGGCACTAGATGGCAGCGTTGTTTGCTCACAGAGGATTAGTGGGCGTGCTGGATCCAACAATAATCTGAACTACTGACCTAACAGTCAGGAAAAGGGCACTGGAGCACGTTTCTGTAGTGTGGACACTTTTGTGAAATTCAACTGGTTCACCCACCCTAAAGGGCTGGACTGTTGATCTTGTTAAGAAGAATTTTTTGCAGGTTTAGGATGCCTTGATTCCTTAAGGAGAAATACTCACCCTGGCTAACGAGATCTGAATACCCTGGGGGCTCCTTGAGTACTAAAGATTTAAAATTAATGTAAGGAGTCTGTATAGAAATTAGTATTTTATTTGGTCTACAAACCTCCCTCCCACTTTTTCTCGTTTTGCTGGGTGGTGCATTAACTGTGACTCACATTTATGAGCCTCTGAAAGAACAAGTTCCAGAATAGGCATGTACTCACCATGCTCTGTGCAGAAAAACTGAAGCAAAGAAATCATTTAAGTTAGATGCAGTGTACCTAAGTGCTACCCCAAGTCCCTGGTCAGGCAAGGATTCTTAGATTCTCTTATAGGCTTCCTTGCCTTTCTGCTACGTTTCAGTGGTTTCCATGATTATAATAATTGGGCTGCTTCTCTGAATTTTGACCAGAGATGTCTTTCAGTTTCATGAGTAGGTATAGAGGCAGATAAAACTCTTGGTTTAGAGGTGATAACTTTTATTAGAACTACTAAATAGTAGCAAAAATTTCTTTCTTTGCAAGCTTTTGGGTCCAAACACCTTTTGTCAGGCAGAGGGGAATTTGAAGATTGTAAAAGTTCTCCCAAATAGAAAAGAAACTGCATCTTCCACAGGGGAGGTAAAGGATGGTGAGGTTCCCCTGGGTTTCAAAGTCCCTTTGTGGAAAAAGTTGCTCTGTGAATATGAATAGGAATATGAAAAGTTGTTCTTTGAATATGAGTAGGAATATGCTTTCTTGTGTTTATATTAGGGTTGTGTATTTGGCTGGTCAAATAAAGGTCAGTCAATTGACTGGTCATATATCAATCCAAAACTAAAAAATTGCCAATAGTTCCAAATAATACAAGGAAAAAGCACACATTTTCTGTTAAGAAATGTGTTGGAGAACAATAAAAAAATCATATTTTTGTCAAGAAATCTGCAAAAAAGTGTAGCTTTTCTTGTAAAATTGCTACAGTCTTTGACTGGTCTAAAAATATGCAGTCAGACTAGTCAATTGGTAATATTTGACCAGTCAATTGACTGGCTTGCCAACCCTAGTTTAAATGAACATATATTCTACCTATCACTACTTTTTTCAGCAAATGTTGGAGCTATTTTAGTAATGGAGGTGGGAGATTCCCATCTCTGATCCTCTGTGTTACAGAGAGGCAACACTGCCATGTAGCTAGGACATGACTGGGAAACTCCAGATGTTTTTAATGGTTCTTTCACTGACTGTGTGACTTCAGGCAAGTGGCTTCCTCCCTCCATGTTTCAGTTTCCTCCTCTGTAAAACAGGGACACTACTTAACTGGGAATCATTTGGTTAAAAAGCTTTATAAAAGAGCATTGTATCATTGTACTATTGAGATTGCAGTCCTAAGTAGAGCTATCAAAAGTAAATTGGTGGCATTGACATTCATAGTGCACTGACTTCCAGGTCATTTTCTAAAGAATACCTGATAATCTTGCTGCTCTTGTCTCTCTGTTTCCTCTCTTTTTTCCCCCAAAGATCTGGAACATTGCTAAAAACAAGCTGACTTTCTTAAACTCTTACAAAATGAAGATGTCTGTTGTCATGGGGATTACGCAGATGGTCTTCGGGGTGATACTCAGCCTTTTCAACCACATGTAAGTTTCATTGTTACATTTCAAATGGTTTCAAATGATGCTGTTCTGGACTACTGTGCTAGAGATTTGGACCCTAGCCCTGGGTGTGTTCTTATCTTTATCTCCCTGAAGGATGGGAACCTCATTTTGGTTTGACAGTAGAAGATACTAGTAAAAATCAGATTTGGTGATGAGCAGTGGACAAGTACCTGGATAGACTTCTGTAACAGAACTGGTCTCAAGTCCACAGGAGGGAGGGAGGGATGGAGTACCAGTCCTCTGGGGGTTGTGCTGGAGACCTGGCCATGCTCCTTGCACTTTATCCTTAGGGAGTTAATAAGATCACCAGCAATCACAGTCTCCTCATTAGGGTTGTAGCAATTCTTCTGCCATGATTACCCCCCCACCCTTTTCTGATTTCACAAAATATTTACGGAGATACAGAAGAGCAGCTAAAAGTGCATGAGGTTTCTTTCAATCTGTTTCCTGCTAATATGTCTGTCTCCTGGTTCTGATCCTGAGCCCATGGAAGTCACCAGGAAGCTGATGTGTATGCATGTGTACATGACAGCCAGCACCCACCCTCTGTTCTGGGAGTGAATCAGATTTGTAGGACCTCTGCCTCATTAGCTACAAAATTGAGAGATATCTAATGAGTGAGGCAAGGGTCTGCGGGAAGAGACAGGATGATGTCCTGGTTAAGGCAGTTGAAAGCTGCCCTGGAAAAGTGAATTCTAACTTTGATCCTGTGATGTGGAGCAAGTCATATAAACCAGGCTTTTTACTAGGGACATTACACTACACATGTATGCTATTCCTTTTCTGGGTGCCTAACTTAAGACCTTAAATAGTTGGAGAAAAAATTTCCAACTATTTAAGTTGGTCTAATAAAAGGTATCAGATTCACCCAAAGAACCTTGTCTGCCTATGTCCTTAGACCAACACGACTACAACCTATACCCCTGTAACTTAAGACCTGGGGTTTGATTTGCCCAAGAGCTGAGCACTCACAGCTGCTACTGAATTCAATGGGATCACATGCCGTGCTGTAAAATGCCAAGTACTCTGAAAAATGAGGCCCTTGTTGTCCAAACTGCTCACCTAAAATGAATTTGACCCTTTGGACATGCTCAGCTTTAATCTGTGTGCAGAAGGGTCCCATGTGGAAAGTGGGGATAATGGTACCACCTCCACTTGGAGGTCTGTTGTGAAGATAAGTTCATTAACATGTGTAAAGCACTCGTAGGCTATGATGTGAGCATAATAGAAAATCCCACAAGAGAATTGCCAGCTCTGTCTTCAGAGCAGGATTTGAATAGCATGCAGTAAATTAGGCCTAGAGCCACACACTTGACTAATCAGGATAAAAAGAAATATTATATAGCTGCTTATTCAGTGAACACCATCCACCCTGAGCACTGAGTGAAACAGGGGTCCTGGGGAAAAATGTGTGTGTGTTGTGTGTGTGAGGCTGTCATTAGAAAAGTATCCTAACACCTTCACACAGGGGGCTAAATTTAAGGTTGCCTGGAAAACCTTAATTCTGGCATTCCTAATATTGAGCACTTCCTTTGTTAAAAGAACGCTAAAGTTGCATAGCTCTTTAATGTAGTAACCTAGAGGGGGCCTGGGCTACTATAGTAATGGGCTTAACTATAAGAACCTGAATAATTTATGTTTAAAATAATATTTGTATTTAAATTGTGCTTTTTATCACTAAGGCCATATCCATACCACCTTCCTTTTGTTCATGGGGCTGCCACTGAGAAACAAGCCCCATCTGCTTGCTCCTTCTCTGTGCCTGCCCAATCTAGGCAATTAATCAGTGAGGGCAGATTAGAGGGGCCCAATGTGTGTGTGAGGGGGCTTGCTTTTTTAGCAGCAGTCCAAGGCTTACCAAGGAGGCAGGCTAGCATTTGCCCTAAGGATACCAGCATCCTAAATTTGGTATCCACAGTGGTCTGGTTCTAGTTTTATTTTTCATACACTAAAATGATGTTCCATGCAGCCTTTGCTCAATGGCCTTGCACTGTATCGCTCATACCAACCTCTTTATCATTTTTTCCAGCTACTTCAGGAGAACAATAAACATTGTCCTGCAGTTCATTCCAGAGATTATATTTATCCTCTGTCTCTTCGGCTACCTGCTCTTCATGATTATATTTAAATGGTGCTACTACAATGTCCATGTATCCCAGTATGCACCAAGCATTCTCATCCACTTCATCAATATGTTCCTGTTCAATTACAATGATCCTACAAACAGCCCCTTATATACACATCAGGTACGGACTCACCAAGGTACTGTCCCTAGTTTTAGTGAGTCACTGTACCCCAGCATAGCCAAGTGGTGCAATTTGCTATGCTACTTTACAATTTAGACCAAAAACTGTGTAAACCTGAAATTGGTCCTACCCTTCAAGCAATTCCAGTCTGTCGAGAAGAGGTCTAAGGGCTGAATCCTTCCCTCTGTGTGGCAGATTACACACAGGTTGACAAGGGTAGAATTTGGTCCTGTATAGTGCCAACACTAGCTCTTCCTAAGGTGTAGCCCTGTCACCTTTTTGCTTTCTTAGAAGAAACTCTTATCTCTAGGCAAGGGAATCCATCTGTGTAGGAGGAGGGAATGGGCAGACCTTGGGCCAGCCTGGTTGGGGAGGTCTGTTCTCTTGGTATTCTCCTAATTATGCTGGTATTGAGGAAACAGACCTAATTACAGAGCAGCCACAGGGGAGGGATCTCATATTACCTTGCAAAACTTGTTCCCAGCCCCATCCTGATACCAGTATGATACAAGGGGCTCTTACCTAGGATATACAAGACCCAAGCTCAAGTCCTTGCTCCAGTAAACTTAAGACAAAGTAGAACAGCTCCAACAGGGAGCTGTGATTGAGAAAGAGATTGAGAAAGACCTACCTCAGAACAGCTTGGGTGTGGGAGAAAAGCAAAGCAGGAAATTTGAACTTGAGCTACCCAGATACCGGGGGGGGGTGTGATCATCATGCTCCTGACTACTCCAGGCTGGGTCTGTCTCTTTATCACACTGGCTTTAACCATAACTTTCATTTTTGAAACATCAGCATTTTTCCAACAAACAAAATTTCAGCCCCCAAATTATTACCAGATCTACCCTGCAGTGCTAAACAGGACTGGAAAACAGAAAGTGGTCATTTTAACCACCCAGGAACACATGGAGAAGATCCGTTGAATAAAAAAAATGCCATTTTTATAGCATTATATTTTAGGATGATAATTTCACTTATTGAAAAATGACAATATTTGAGATATCCCTTTAATAGGTGTGTTTGTCCCTTGTAGAAGGAAGTCCAGAGCTTTCTGGTCATATTTGCCTTGATTGCTATTCCATGGATGCTTCTGATTAAACCTTTTATTCTCCGAGCCAATCACCTGAAAGCTCAGCGTATGGTAAGGGCACAAAATCTATCATCACATTAAGCACAGGTATAGTTGCAAACATCTTGGTTTTCAGTACACTGGTGCCAAAGTTGACTGTTATTTTTCAACAGCATTTGGTAAAGAGCTAACTGTTTTTCATTGAAGGAAATGTGAGTTCTACCAATGGAGGCAGATTTAGGCCAGCATTGAGCCGTTTTGGAAGCTGTAGGCTATGTCCAAAGTTGTCAAAAGAAAATAATTGTGAATGCTTCAGTTTCTTGCCATGCTTCACTTCCGACATGAAAGGACTTGGATGGCTTGCTCCTTGTAAGCTGAGAGCAGAGCTAAAATTATGTTCCTGTCCTCTGAAGAGACTGTCTACAGTGCTCAAAGAAAATACCTGATTTAAAGGTGTGACTAGCTATTTTCCAACAGTGTTTTCCTCTCTCAGTGATAACAATTCCTATTATCTAGTGCAGTGGTTTTCAACCTTTTTTGTATCAGGACCCATTTGTAAACACTGATGACCAGTACTGACCCAATGACCCTCCCCCCCGACCCACCCTCCCCCCTGACCCCAGCCCCCCAATGTCTGGGACGTGGGGAGTGGGAGGAGGTGTGTGGGGCAGAGAGGGCCTCAAGCTCCCCCTCGCAGGCTGGAGCTCTGCCAGTCTGCAAGGGAAAAGTCACAGTTTCCCACACATTGTTCTGCTTGAAAGAAGAATCCATTAAAAAAATTTGTTGAATCATTTTTTAAAGTTTGTTCACGACCCTTTCATATATTCTTGTGACTCACTTTTGGGTCACGACCCATGGGTTGAGAAATGCTGATCCAGTGGAAGGCCCTTCTTTCCTGTGTATTATACACTTTGACCTAATCTTGCATGCGGCTGGCAAAATTGCAATTTCCTTGTCGCTTATTTGTTCTGTTTGTTACAGCAAGTGAAGGATTCTTATTTGCTTTTAACATTTTCTTTTGTTTGTAGTTAGCTGTGGAGATGGGAATACCTTTTATATAGCACAAATGACTTCATTTAAAAGGAAAGAAGCTGGTTGTGCTCTGTGACCTTTTCTAGTCCAGTAACTAAAGACCTATAATGGAAAGCCGGGTCCCTAAGAGATGTCTGTAGAACAACATTTGTTCTGTAACTTCTTATATTTCAATTCTTCTGGGACTTCAAGCAAGTATTTTTACATTGTTGACTGCAGCTCCTGCTCTGTGCCAGGCAGCCAACAACATCTGATAGCTTTTCTCCCCCATCCTATTTCAGCCAATGATTTTCATATGTCAGCTACCCGATCAAATCTTAGATTTGGCCAGATTTATACAGCTGCAGCAAAATGTGTTCTTTATGCTGACATTCAAGCCAACTTAAGATAAGCAAGTATAATAGAGATTACTGATACAATGGAACAAAACACATTTATGAGGCTTTTCCTACAAAACGTGTTGAAAGTAATAACGAATGCCAGGATATCTGTTAAAAGCTGCTGATTCAGTAATGTCTGAGGCTTTTTTTGTGCTATGAATTCAATTCAATACAGGACATTGTTGAAGCCAGGTGGTCTTTTGAAGCTATGATCTTTGAGTCATGGGTCAAGATATGTTTTATGTTAAAATGCCACTCATTTGAGGATGCTGCACAAATAATGGTTGTGGAGAGAGGCTGAGAGGCCTTGAGACTTGTCATAGGCCATAGCCTCTGGAGGTCTGAATTCTGCTTCCATCTTTCAGAGTCTTATTGTATGACCTTGGGCAAGTCACTTATTCCCTCCAGCCCTGATTCCGCTCTTACCTAAACCAATCTAACTTCATGGACTTTGACTACTGTGGGGTTAACACCAGTGTAACTGCAGGAGGGTGTCAGGCTTCCCATGCCTCAGGTTCATCATTTCTTAAAAGTGGACAGTATTCCAACGTGCAACATTGCAGTGGGCTTATGAGGCCTGAGTAACTTTATGTGTATTATACTGGGGCCCTTGGATAGAAGATGCCCTCAAAATTGAAGGGTTTTCTTTTTTATTCTTGCTAGTGATTGTGATGGAAACACTCTGTTTCTCTAATAAATGTCAGATTACTCCTGATATTTTTTTATGTTGTAGGCTGGCTGTGTTATAATTGTGTAGTCATCCTTCTATACCTATATAAAACTATGTACCATATCAGTTTTTCTTTGATGAGTATTTCCCCTTGGAATCATTCAAGAAATTCAAATAATATAAGCTGAGCCATTCTCTTTTGCTTTTGAAAGCTCCAGTTACCACCAATCTCAGAAGGCCCTGCTGGTGACACTGAAGTGGAGATCACTCAACCCAACAACTCCAAGAAAGCTGGTCGTGAAAACCATAGTAGTGGCCATGGGGGACATGATGATCACGAGGAAGAGGTAGAGAAATCAGGGCAGGATGGGAGAGAAGAACCTTTTGAATCCTCAAACCTGTGCTTTGACTAAACCTGAGCCTAATCTTTTGGAGACTCGGGCAGGTCGAACTTCTTTTCCATTACTTTTCATTTACATGCTTTGCTGAATTTTTAGTGGGGAGTGCAAATGACAAAAGACCATAGAAAAAATAGTCTCATTTCCTGTAGGAAAGCTTGTTCTTTTGTGCCCTCTTGTCCAAGTAGGAAACATATACATTTAGATTTTTAGATTAAGCACCTTGGTTTGGGGGGTTCATGCCTGACCATAGAAATATATAGGATTTGCCAGAATCTGGACACTTAGATTCAAGACCCCCATAGGCCAGCATCTTGCCTTTGACAGGGCCAGCATCAGAGCCCCCTGCAGGCTGATTTGGGACCATATTCCCTATATGTAGCTAGAGATTGGTTTAAGCACCAAAGCACATGCCTTCCAGTCCCCTTGAGGCTTTATCCATTGCTGCAGGAAAGCAGTTGCCATATTTCAAAAGGCACATGAGTTTTCTGTGTTAAAAGAATTTGAAATCTGGAGAGAAAGATGAAAACAACCAAAATTGCCAGTGTTGTTCTGACCTGAATAGACTGATCCAGTACATACTGAAGTCAGCACAGAGATGCGCATTGAGTTCAGCAGACCTTTGAGCTTCTACACAAAGGCTAGGGACAGACATTCAAAAATCCTGAGTCTGAATTGATTCAATCTTTGCAGGTTAGTTTAACCTGGGTAGGCTGAACTGGTTTGTAACCATACAGACATCCCCTCTGGACTGAGGAAATTCAGGCACATGCCTGCAGTGGCTCAGGCTAGAAGCTGGGGGGTGATAGAGAAGCCCTCCCTTCCCTTTTACAGTGCTGAGCCAAGGGGGTGTGGCCAGGCTCCATCAGGACACTCTGAGTAGAGAGGGGTTCCCCCCACCTTGATGAGAGCTCTGTTATCAGCACTTAGCACCCCATCAAAAAAAAGCCTCTCTCGTTAGTTCAAGCTCTTCTTAAACAACTTTTTCCAAGGAAGGAACAGAGGGACATTACCAGCTACTTGTTGATTAGCTCCAAAAAGCCCTAAGCTGACAGTGTTCTGTCTGCCTCTGTCCTGTCTGCTTTACACAGACACCTCTTAGCATTAGCTAGCATACCACATACTGGCTATGGTCCATGCTGTGGGAGAGAAGAGGAAGGGATCCCTACTTGAGCAGCAAGTGGTGAGGTGGGGATGGGGCAGGGGGAAGCCGGGAAGACCCTTCTGTGCCTACAAGTCTCTGCCAGAGCTCCAGTGATGGAGGGGAGGGGAGGGGCCAGCACAGCTCTCTGGAGCAGAGAGCCCAGCCCAGTCCAAAGAGCATGCTGGGATGCTGGGGGACTCTCATTTAACTTAAACCAGGAAGGGGTCTGGGACAGACATTGCATAAAGCAGTTTGACCCAAATCAGTTAAGTCTGATACTACATTCAACCAGGTTTATCTCAAATCAGTTTCAGCCATTTTCAGACTGGTTTGTGTGAACTGAATGTCTGTTCTATTACAGGTTTAAGCCAGTTTCTGATCACTTAAACTGGCTTATGTGTAATGTCTGTCCCTAGCCTCAGGGTTTGGACAAACAAAGGTGCATCACCATGAGTTAAAAGGGAATGGGAACTTGCCAAGCATCAACTTCTTTGTGGAAACTATTTCATGTGCCTGTTCTTCCACAATAGTGATCTGATCCACAAGCTAAACAGTAGTAGGGCTCATTCAGGAGTTAGCTGCCCTGGTTATTTACTATCAAGTAAGACTGGGCAAATCTTACTGCTACCCTTCCCCAGGTTCACTGTGTAGTGGTGGGCCAGCTTAGGCATGCAGTGCACTGTGGGGTGGGGGTAGGTCATGGAGATATGGTGCAGCGATGGCAGTGGGGGTGTCCATGGGGTATGTTGCTCAGAGGGAGTTGCAACTTGCTCTGGTGCAGCTCACAGGATATGTGGCCCCTCCTTGGAAGTTGCACAGCCCCAGCCCAGAGCTAGGTAGCACTGATTTGGGTGGGTGTTACATATCTCCCATACCCTTGTTGTGGGATAAAACTTGCCAAAAACTGATGCCAATTTGCGAGCAGCTGTGAAAGAGTTAACACTGGACTGAACCCACCCCTTTGACTTTGTGGCAGGGAGAGAGAAGTTGGCAGCCATCTTTTAACACAGTGTCTTTATCCTTCTATGCTTCCACATAGTGAAGTTCTGGTGAAGAAAATCTGCTCCCCTGCTTAAAACATGCACCCCAGTTTTGGAGGGCTGATTTTTTGGGGGACAGGTACATGTAGTATGCTAGTGAATACAGTAAAGTGCAGGGAAGGCAAATACAGAGTGGTTATTTAGCAGTTGTTTTTCACTGAAGTTTTTCTTTTTCTGAGTCTGGTGCCTGGGAAGATAGAACAAGCAGAACAGTTTACCTGATCACTTAAACAAGCAGACCTGTCCTCTTGTCAGACAGCCGGATGTTGCTCCTATCACCCTGAGGAAGGAGATTGGCGCACCTACATTGTATAGTGTATTACTGTTCCACTAGCACAGAATGGAAGTGAGGCAGCTTCATTTTTGCATCATTTCAGTTCAATTTTGGAGACATATTTGTACACCAAGCAATCCACACCATTGAATACTGCCTGGGCTGCATCTCTAATACGGCATCCTACCTCCGGCTCTGGGCACTAAGCTTGGCTCATGCACGTGAGTTATTGCTTCGTGTTGTTCAGCTGTAACAATAATCTGTGTTCATTGCTGCTATGGGAAATGTGTCATTGTCATTGGAAATCTTTATTTTCACTGAAAATGAAAACGAAGCTTCTGCAAACTCAGAATCTGCTGTGGGATTTTCCACCTGGAAAATTGAAGCAAACTATTCTGCATCGAAACAAATTGGTATGATTTGAGAGTTGTCAAACCTGATTGAATATTTTGTGGCTGTTTGATTTGTGTTCATACTAGCTGCTGAGGGGCTTCATGGAAGTTGTAGTTTGGGTGTCTCATGCCTTTGTTCTCTAATATAGGCCAGGCCCTCTGAATTTCCTGTGATGCACTGTAGTTTCCTCCTCTGGTAGCATCATCATAATCCGTCATGGGAAATTGAGCCTAGCCCTAGAGATGGATGAGGGTAGTAAGGCAGCCAGGTTACAAGACCCATCACAGCAGCAGCTCAAGGGGACAGATCAATGTTAAAATGACCTGAAACATGACATTTTCCTTCAGTTTAACAAATCAAAATGACAAAGCTCATTTAAAAAATATTGAAACCTTTAATTTTGACCTGGAATGGTCACATTGAAATAATTCAAAACTTTATATTTCATGGGGAAAAAAATCACCATTGCAGTTTTTCTTGATCTAGGAGGAAAGCAGATGTTGAAATTTCAAGCTCTTCAGAAGGTCTGATTTTCAGCCATCTCTGGTTATCATTATCATCTATTTATTGAGTGAGTGGCAGTACTGCCTGCTTCTGGGTATTGTGCAAACCTGGAACAAAAAGACAGTCCTTTCCCCACAGAGGTTGCAGTTTAGAACCAGACAAATATAAAAAATAACCCCTTAATGCAAAGGTGCCTGACTGGGAAGGATGGCTCTGCCCTTCCTGTCGTAACATTCTTGGCACATAAGTGAGTGTAGTAGTGAGTTAATTGGAAGTAAACTCACGCTAGCTTTATATTAGAGATATAGGTGATTAAAAAGAACTTAAGTTCAATGGTGAAGTACTTAGATGTACAGTTACCTTTTTTATGAACATGTCATCTCTAAGCTGTTTTTAAGAGTAGTGAATCTGTTTTAGAGAAACATTTCAGCAAGAATTAATTGAGGGAGGTCCTGTGCCCTGTAGTATGCAGAAGGTAAGGGTAAGGTGATCGCTATGGTCTCTTCTGGCCTTATTATCCTGGATTCTGTGAACCTATTTGGCTTGGGGAGGTTCATATAGGAATCCATAACAACTATTTGTAATTCCCATTCATCTGAGTTCTTACATCAAAATGTGGTCCCCGGGACCTCTCTGTAGTGGCTAAAGAAATGGAGAGGAAAAATGAGCCAGTGCAGTGGTTAGGGTGCTGGCCTGGAGGAGACTTGGGTTCAACTCCTTGATTTACCACAAGCTTCCAGTGTGACCCTGGGCAAGTTGCTTTGTCCCTCTGTGCCTCAGTTCCCCATCTGTCAGAGGAGAGAGGTGCACGTTTCTACCCATGCAGCGGGTGCTGAGGAGTAAATGTATGAAAGACAATAAAGTGCTCAGGTACTCACCATGAAAGGAGTCATTAGTAAGTGCCTTGGATATATAGTTCCCTGGTGAGCACAGTTTCCCTGTCTAGTGTAGACAGGACTCTTCACTCCAACTCTGCTACAACTTTGACATAACATTGTGCTGTAGGTTGGGTTTTGAGCTTGCTGATGGGGCCTAAGCTTGGTTTTACAGTTAGATATATGATATGGAACTTATCACACTTTCCAGGTGAACAGAACTAGTTCATTCCTTTTCTAGGTGCTCATTCTCAATGTCTTCCATAAGAGGAAGTGGCCGGGCAGAACACATACGAAAGTCCTCAGCTAGCATAAATCAGGCTATAAAGAGACATCACTAGATGAAGTGAATCAGCTCTTCTGGGATGCATCCTGGCTCCTGCTGGGCCCCTGCCACTCCTGGGAGCCAATCCTGCAGGAGAACAGTTGGGGCAAGCATCTGCAAACTGAGGGGACCCCAGGGTTTCCCCATTTGCAGAGATGCACCCTGAGTCAGGATCACTGGGCATGCCTCTGCAAATGGGAAAACTGGGCAGGCATTTCTG